GACATCCTCGCAACTCGGGGCTCCGAGATGCCGCGCGCGAGGTGGTCCAGCTCGTTGGTACTCCGAGATGCCGCGCGCGAGGTGGTCTGGCCCGCCGTTTCGCTTAAGATATCCTAGCAACTATAAGCTCCCAAATGCCCCGCGCGAGGTGGTACGGCCCGTTTCGCCTGAGACATCCTCGCAACTCTGGGCTCAGAGATGCCGCGCGCGAGGTGGTGCGGCCTTTTCCGCCTGAGACATCCCCGAAACTCGGGGCTCCGAGATGCCGCGCGCGAAAGGTGGTACGGCCCGTTTCGCCCGAGACATCCTCGCAACTCGGGGCTCAGAGATGCCCCGCGCGAGATGGTACGGCCCGTTTCGCCTGAGACATCCTCGCAACTCGGGACTCAGAGATGCTGCGCGCGAATTGGTCTGGCCCGCTTCACCCGAGACATCCTACCAACTCTAGGCCCTGATATGCCGCGCTGCCGCGCGAGAGGTGGACTGGCCCATTTCGCCTGAGACATCCTCGAAACTTTGAGCACCGAGATGCCGCTCGCCAGGTGGTTCAGCGCGCTTCGCCTGAGACATCCTCTTAATTCTGGGCTCCGAGATGCCGCGCGAGAGGTGTTTCAGCCCGTTTCGCGTTTGACATGTTCGAAATTCTGAGTTCCTAGATGCCGCTCGGGAGGAAGAGGAGGTGGAGGAGGAGTAGAAGAGTTGGAGGAGAAAGAAGGGAGGAGGAGGATGAGGGAGCAGGCAGGAGGAGGAAGAGGAGGTGGAGGAGAAAGAGGAGGAGGAGGGAAGAGGAAAGGAGCTGCATGAGAGGACCGAACGGGAAGCGAGAGGTAGAACGGGCCGTTTCGCTTGGGACACCCTTCCAATACTGAACTCCGAGATGCCGCTCGCGAGGTGGTCCAGTCCGTTTCTCCCGAGCCAGCCTCACAATGTCAAGCTCCGAAATGACGCCATGCGCACCCTGCCTTCCGCCCTCCTCAGACATCCGACGTCACGGTTTTTGTTTCGAGACGTGCGCCCGCGGACCTGTCGATCTGATCCCCGAAACTGGTTCTTCGTCCGAGCTCTTCATTATGATCCCAGTAGCACCGAAACGGGGGTTCGAAGTCTTTTTCTCACTGTTCTCGCCGCGTTCTCCCTGCACTGGGAGGTGTCGCGAAACGAATGCTGGCGGACGCGTGTTGGGCCACCTTGACGCTCCAACGCGCCGCGGGGGAGCCGCTCCAGAGTCAAGGGGGGGGGGGGAATAACAAAAAACATACAAAAATACACACACACACGGTGGGAACATAATCACACAGTGTGTTTGTTGTTTCCCCACAGTGTGTGTGTGTGTGTGTGAATGTGTGTTGTTCCCGTTGTGTGTGTGTGTGTGTTTGTGTTCCCCCCCCCCGAAGGAAACACCCCTCTCCGAACAGGAGGAAGGAAATTGGAAAGGGGAGTTCGGTAAATCACTCAGGCCCTTCAAGGCCGCGCTGACGGCGTGCTTGGTTAACGGTGCGGTTGGGAATCTTGTTCATGTGACACGGAGCTCACGCAAAACAAGGTATAAGAAATCACGACACACCGCCTCCTACGTTCCAGCTGTGCGAATTTGTATCGAACGAGAGCGACGCAGCGAGTCGTAGGACACCACGGACCACGCGTTCCTACAACTGTTTTAGCCACGAACCACGCGTTCCCACAATTGGATGTTCTACTTCGCCGTTAGCTAACACACCGGTAGCGCGTCTACGGGCCCAAAAAAACGGATGGGATAAGATGCACAGCTGCCCGCCTAGCATGTACTCCAGGGCTGAGTGCGCACAGCCCATCGCTTTCCGAAGCTGTACCCATGAAAAAACCCAAGGCAACTCACTTTTTCATAAAAGAAAGAAGAACACTCGTTCGCAGAAGTGCGCAACCCCAAGCGCTTTCGATAAATATCAGCTTCGCTTTCTGCATCCATGCCGCGTGTCGGCGGCTCTTCCGCACGCCTCTTTTGAGCTGGCAAGAGGGTCGCAATTGGTACGGCGGTATTAAACCGTCGATGCGGTGGTGTTCAACACGGAATCCGACCAAAACGCGCCATCCAGGGCGACCGGAGCGACAAAGGAAGACCATTCGTCTCCAATGCCCTCTCCCCCTTCTTCTTCGATTTGCCTCCTGGCTCACAGCGTGGCGGTATACCCTCTGACAGTGACGCCTCGACAGCTTAACGTCGACCAAGGACGGGAGGAGGGAGGAGGGGAGGAGTCCGAGACTCTCAGGCGATGGTCCTGCGAGGCAGCATCGCACAAGCGTTTGTACGAGCATATATAGGAAAACACCATGTTATCATGTTCCAACTTCTCATACCAGCCCGCATTGGACGGGGAGGTGATCGACCTCGGAAACCGTCATGGACTTGAGAATCCTAATTGGGGGTGCTGCGCTCCGGCCATACTTGCAATCGTGGCCATAACAACGCGCGGTATGGCCAAATGGACCCAAAAGACCATTTTAACGAGGAGGAGGAGGAGGAGGAGGAGGAGGAGGAGAAGGGGGGGAAGAGGAGGAGCAGGAGGGGGAGGATGAAAAGGAGGAGGAAGAGGAGAACGGGGAGGAGGAGGAGGAGGAGGAGGAGGAGAGGAAAAGAGGAGGAGGGGAAAAGGGGGGAAGGAGGAGGATGAGGAGGAGGAAAAGGAGGATGAGGAGGAGGATGAGGATGAGGATGGGGATGAGGAGGAGGAAAGGAGGAGGACGACGACGAGGATCGGGAGGAAGAAAAAAAGGAGGAGGAGAAAATGGAGGAGGAGAATGAGGACGAGTAGGACGGGGGGAGGAGGAAGAGGAGGAGGAGGAGGTGGAGGAGAAGGGGGGAGGAGGAGGAGGAGGAGGAGGAGGAGGAGGAGGAGGAGGAGGAGCTGGAGGAGGAGAAAGAAGAGGAGGAGGAGGAGGAGGAGGAGGAGGAGGACGGGTAGGCGGAGGAAGAGGAGAAGGAGATCGAGTAGGAAGGGGGAGGAGGAGGAGGAGGAGGAGGAGGAGGAGGAGGAAGAGGAGGAAGAGGAAGAGGTGGAGGATGAGGAGGAGGACCAGGAGGATGAGAGGGAGGAGAAGGAGGACAGGACAGGACATCCGCATAAAGGGTGTCTACATCAACACCTAGAAAGGAGCTGCGCGAACGACTACCAAATGCTGTGTGAGACAAAGGGGGTAACAGTAATTGAATTTAGCTTGCTTTGCTCAGAAACACCTCGGACACTTCCTGCCAAATGCGCCGGTTTGCCGACAGGGAAGACATGGTGTTCTCGAGGTTCATCACTGGCGGAGGCCAGTGGCCTCCGAACCTCGGGGCCTCCATCTTCCCTCTGGCTCTTGTTCCATTGACGCAACCGATCTTCTATTTGTTTCCAAACTTTCCCAAACAAGTCGTTCTCTGCTCCTCTGTCTCCTCAATTGCTTCGAGGTCACACTCCACCTTTTTCACCATAATCGGGGTAGATGCGGCACATGAGATTCCCATCGCCAGAAGAGCAGGGGCCCATGGGTCTAGGAGGTTCTTCATATGTCGCAGCCGATGACCTCCGAACCTAGGGGCCCCCATCTTCCCTCGAACCGTTGTCGTCTATCTTCGCTCACCGCCGAACACATAAATGAAAAGCAGGCCCTATTGAACTGCATTGGAGCAGTTGGTCTTCATTATCCTGCTGCAGCTGTTCCCAAAAGTCTAATTCGTTTATGGGTTCTCGCGGCTCTTCACTGGCACCCTCCGCTTGCCTCCGAAACTCGGGGCCTCAACCTTCCGTCTGGCAAGCGCTGTCCAGCGACGGCTCTTGGTCAACCAATTGTTCGCAAGTGGCAATCCTGGCAGCCTGGCATTTCCTACCGTAGGTACGGCGGATCCGTTCTCCTCACCTTTGGCTCGTCGTTTTTTTCAAGGTCACACTCCAGTCCTCTATAGAATTTCGGATAGTTGCGGCACGAGCAACATCCATCACGATATCACGACCCTGTCACACGAGAAGAAATCGCAAAAGGTACGGTATCGGAATGGCTGCAGGGATTGTTTTGTTTATTATCCGTCGTCCCTCCCCCCGACTCCCTCCCTCCGTCAGTGGAAAATGTATGGGGCGGAAGTCGTATGAGTGGGTTCCAGTGAAAGTCCCCACTCCGTCGGACCTCAAATTGCCTGGGCCTCCAACGCCGACTAGGAGGAGGAGGAGGAGGAGGAGGAGGAGGAGGAGGGGGAGGAGGAGGTAATCGTGTGGTCGCACTGCCTTTCCTCCCTCCCAGAAGCTGAGGCAGCAGGGCCTCCGCCTCGCGAGGACCGCCCAGGGCCGGCGGAGGTCCCGAGGCCGATGGGACGGCGCACGGCGCGCACGAGCGGCAGGCTGCGCCACGACCCAGAAGCCTGTGACGGGACCGCGGTCCACGACCCTGGCACGGTGGCAGGAGGGGCCGAGGTGCACAGGACGCACCCGATTATGATCTGTATCCTCCTCCTCTTCCTCCTCCTCTTCTCTGGTCCTGCTCGATCCTCCCGGCTCCTCCTCCACGATACTCCTCCTCCTCCTCCTCCTCCTCATCCTCAGCTCCTCCTCCTCCTCCTCAGCTCCTCCTCCTCCTCCTCTTTTTTTCCTCCCCCTCCTCCACGATCCTCCCCGACTCCTCCTCCTCCTCCTCCTCCTCCTCCCTCCTCCTCTCCTCCTGCTCCTCATCAGCCATGAGCCTCTTTGTCCTGCTCATCCTCGACGCCTCCCTCTCCTCCTCCTCCTCCTCCTCCTCTCCCTCCTCCTCCTCCTCCTCCTCCAGCTCCTCCTCCTCCTCCTCCTCCTCCTCCTCCTCCTCATCCTGTCCCTCTCCCTCGCCCTCTCCTCTCCCTCCTCCTCCCTCCTCCTCCACCTCCCTCCTCCTCCTCCCCCCTCCCCTCCTCCTCCTCCTCCTCCTCCTCCTCCTCCTCCTCCTCTTCCTCCTCTGCTTCCCACCCTTCACGATCCCCCTCGACACCGTGCCCGATCATCGTCGATGCCTGCTCGGTCCGCCCCCGCCCCGCGGAGAGGCGCGGGGCCCGGGGCGGGCACGGCTCGCCCAGGTGCCGCCCGGCCTGCCTCAGCGCGGAGGCGCGCGAGCAGCCCCTGCTGCCCGCGCCCCAGCGCCGCCCCTGGTCGGGAACGGCGGGGGGGGGCGCGAGCGAGCGCCGCGCGCGGCGAACCAGATCCTGAGCCGCGCCCTTGCGGTCTGGACTCCGGGGCGCGATCCCGCGGACGCGCGGTCACACGGGTGCGGTCAGGACTGGCAGTGAGGATGCGCGATCAGGGATGCGAGGGCCCTGGAAGGCCATGTCGGCACCTCTCGAGCGGGGCGCGGCCAGCGAGAGTGGCCGAGGATGTGCCGAAAGGGAAGGGGGGTGCCCTTGGAAGGTGGCTCATCCTTGCTGTCAGTGTTGCCTGTACGTCCTGCGCGAGGCACCCGCGAAGGAACGCCCCGTCTCCGCGGGTCGCGGCCCAGGGGCTGGGCCCACGAGGCCGCGGGTACGGACCTCGCCATCGCTCGGACGTCCATTCTCCGTGCATTTGTCGGTTTCGTGCGTGTTTTTGTTTGCTCGATGGTCCAGGATGGTCCTGGATGGTCCTCGCCGAGCAAACAATGCACACGTCCGAGCGATGCCAGGGGACATGCTCGTCGCCCACGAGAGCGGAGCTGTGTGCCAGTGGCGGGCGAGCGGGACACGAGGCGCCGAGCAACCACAGCGGGGGCGCGGCAGGGACGACAGGGACGGTCGGGAGAGCGGCCGCGGAGGATAAGCAGGCAGGAGGCGACATCGGAGCCCTACCCGCACGAACCATTGAGCCTCCCGAATCGATGGCAGGCGGGGTTAGGGATCGGATGTCGCAACGTCTTCGACGAATTCCGTACCCTGCTGCCGCCGCCGCCTGTCGAGTTGCCTGAACCGTTGATCGGCGAGAGCGGTGCGGATGGAGGAGACGGGTCCTGGAGAACCCCCCTCCACAGGACCCCAGGGACAGCAGAGGCAATTTGTGTTACGACTCCGACAAACTTACTTGCATGGAGGGGGGGGGGCTGGCGAGACCCGAAAGGAAATCTGGAACCTCATTCAAGTCAGGACTCACTTGCACGCCATTTCGGCCCAGCGCAGGTTGCAACGGCGGAGGGGGGTGAGGGGGGAGGGCGGAGGGGTGAGGGGCGAACTGCCGTTCTAGCAAGTAAAACGCAACGCCCTCAACTGAGGCCCCCTAGATGGGCTCCGAGTACATGGGGTCAGAGGATCGCGCTGCATCGGCGACGCATCGGTGATGCATCAGCAACATCGACGATGCATCGGCGCCGTCGGCGTGGGGGTAATTGGGCTCCACATCGAGCTGCATCGCCGGTGCATCGGTGATGCAGCGCGATCCTCCGAACCCATCTCTAGTCGGACCCAGGTTGGGAAGCGTGGATGCTCCCCCTCCCCAAGCACCCGCCCTGCTGCCGAGGTGGGTTCACCTTGCCCCTCGACCCCTGAGATCCGATGCTGTAAAAAATACAACATCGCAACAAAACACGACCGGCCCCCCGGACCCCATCTTTCTTCATTTTTCGAGCCGAAAATGTGCGGTTCGAAAAAATTGAGTCGCCAGGATCTCAGGGACCGCCAGTCGTCGTGGGCGGGCAGCATATCAGTATCCACGGCCTCTCGGGCTGGGCCCCTGGGACGACGCGACTGCGTGCGAGGCCATCTGCACCGACCCCGTCTGCACCGATCCCCACCTGCACCGACCCGAACTGGGAGGCCTAGATGCCTGTGTGGTTGCATTACCTTGAAGGGGCCCAAGGACACACAAATCAATACACACAAATAACAGGACTCCCCCTATGCTTCCCGAGATGTTCTGGGTTTTTCTCTTCCCCCCCACTTCCCATCTGTTCCCATGCTTTCCTGGGAGTCGACGATTCATTGTGCCTGTGTGTTTTTGTTATCCTCCCGCTACCTCCCCTGCCTCCCAAGGAGGTGCAGCAGCAGGGCCTCCGCCTCGAGGAGGCGTCCCAATGCGGAGGTCCCAAGACCGACGACGACGACGACGCCGCCGCCGCCGACGCCGCCGACGACAACGACGACGACGCCGCCGCCGCCGCCGCCGCCGACGACGACGACGACGCCGACGCCGACGACGACGAGGGCCTCTCGGGCGGGGCCCTCGAGGCGGGGCGACGACCGGCGACCCCGGAACGAGGCGCGGGGACGGGCCCCAGGGAGCCCAGGGGCCCTCGCGCGGGCAGGAGGAGGCAGGCGGCGGCGGGAGGCGCGCTCGGGGGAGCGGGCGTGGGGCGCGCGGCGGGGGAGGGAGCAACTGGGGCCCAGAGGCACGCGAGTAGTCAGGCACGACTCCCAGGGCTCCCCCTGCTTTCCCACGTGCTCTGGGCGTTCGCCGTCGCCCCCCGGGGGCCACAGAATCTCCATCAGTTGAGCCAGACCCTCGCCACCGGCGCCACAATCCCTCGCCAGAGCGGCTGCGATCCCTCGCGAATTGACCGAGATTCGAA